ATTTTGTATATTACATAAATATGTGTGTATTTAATAAAGGTATTTAAAGTATATTTAAATATAGAAAGATCCGATTCTAATATTCTGCAGGGGCAATGAACTAATAATGTTCAGATCCCAAGACTGGAGCCTGATCCCTCCCACAGCTATAATACTTCTCTAGTAGCTGTTCCATTGGTGAGTAAGCTATGCTGCACCCACTGGCCAGGGCACAGACAGGTTCATCCCAATACCTTTGCGCACACTGGCTTTCTTCCCAGGTAACCCTGTCCTCACTGTACTTCCTGTTCATTCCTATCTATGACCACCTCTTCACACAGCCAATTCCTTCTCAGGGTTCTAAGACAGAAGCTAAAATGCACCATAACCCATTAAATCTTATCTCCAACACCTTTCTAGTCATTTCCATAAAATTTCTCCCTTTCTTCATTCCACTTGTAAGTTTACATAATGACTTTTCAACTGGATTATGGTTTCTAAAGTAAAATGGAATTAAGAAAAGGTAAGCTAGCCGGGTGGTGGTAGCACATGCCTTTAATCCCAGCACTCGGGCGGCAAAGGCAGATGGATCTTTGTGAGTTCAAGACCTGCTGGGTCTACAAGAGCTACTTCCAGGACAGCCTCCAAAGCCACAGAGAAACCGTGTCTCGAAAAACCAAAAGAAAAAAAAAAGAAAAGGTAAGCCACAAGAATGGAACTGAAAAGTGAAACTGAACATAACTGAAAAACTACAGTATTATCACGAGTCTCTAAAGCTTTTTAAATAAAATAATTTCTGGCGATGCCTTCAAATTTTGTCTCTAGCTCCCCATCTTCTTCTGATCAAGTTTTCTTTGTTAATAATTGACTTAGATAAGCCACGTGGGAAGACTAGCAGCAATATTCAAAGGCGATACTTGAAATTAGAAGCACACTGAATGCCACCACTCTCTTCTGCTGCATCACTGTTAAAGGTGCTGTGATCAAGGCAAGTATTTAGTACTCAGTCTGAAGCTGGGCTAATCACTGTTGATGGACAAGTATATGATTTGAAGTTGCCCACTGGGATTGGATAAGCACTAAAGCATCTAACAGTGTCTTCTCAACTTACACCTGAAGATGGAGAGAAATTACATAAATGATGGAGTGTGTATTAGAATCTCAGATGCATCCTTACAGTTATTAAAGTAACTTCACCATTTAAGGGAAGGGAATTGGTAGCATTTGAGGCACTCTCTCCAAAACCTCTGAGCTAACTATAAAATGAGCACTCTTGTTCAAAAGGCTTTGTTCCTTTTTTTTTAAATCACATCAAAGACTTTTCCAAATAGAAAATTTCATTTCTAGAGTTTACAGGTTTATTGCTGCAACAGATGTTCAGCTAATCTCAAATTGGACAAAAATTGGATATAAGTAATCATGTGAGGCATAAAAAGCACTAGTAAGGAATGAAAAGCCAGGGTTCTGCCAGCACTCATATTTTAAGTAGAAAGAAATGGAATATGCAACTATAGAAACAAAGGCTTGTTTTTTCAGTGTGGCTAAGATGTCTGTTCTGCTACAAAGTAAAAAAGAAAAAGTTCTTAGAGGCTGAAAATCATGAGTTTTGTTAAATGAATTTGAATTCAAATTCCATTATACCATGTGTATTTTTTCTGCCACAATGTATTATTTTTATTTTTTTAAATCTGGAAGAAGTATTATAAAATATTCTATCAAGTATGCACTTATGCAGACATGCCTATGAGTAGAAAATAAATTAAAATTTATTAGTCACCTCAAATTGCAACTAAATCATTAAAACCATTCTTTTTCCTTTTCAAAAATGAAGAAAGTGATATTTTGAATACAGCAGCAGCTAAGAGCACCAATTAGTTCTGCCTGGGACAAGAAATGTACTTAACAGTCAGCCTCAGAAATGAAAAGATTTTACAGGACCTTAGCTTACTTTCAGTGATCTTAAGAAATACCATTTAAGTAATAACATATCAAAGAATAGCCCTTGACTGGCGGCCCTAACCACATGACCGCATCTTAGCATCACCAATGCACGCACCCATGGCTATAGCCCCCTCTGCTAACCACCTCTTCCTTCATTCCCATACTACGTCTGAGCATCATTATGTAGTTTTCCTCAACAAAGAAGCAACTCAGTACCAACCACTGTCAAAAAATAAAGAATTCAGGAAGCAATAAATCAAGCCTCTTAAAAGATAATACTTGCACGAGCCACACATTGTTGCTGAGCGGTGTAAGGATCCTGCAATTACAATGTTGTCTCTCACAGTATTAGAACAAGAAGGAGGTGGTACCATTCCTCATCTAAGACCAGGCCTTCCAAAGGCCTATATCCTGTTCCAAACAAACATAGACTTGAATCTGAAGCATGAGCTATTCAGCTAAATATGTATTTATTATTGTTTCCCACAAAACAGTGGAGGGACTGAAAAGTTGCCCTTCCATGCTTTCTCAAAGCAGCAGACAAGAAACACTGCAGCAATATAGCAATGTGCACGCACGCGCACACAGAAGTACGGACCTCTGCCTCTCCTCTCTAGAACTGTGTTTATGTGCATGACTGCACACGCATGTGAGGCCATGCCCATGCCCATGTGGCACACAGGAACTGGCTGAGAAAAGACCATGTGGATGCTTGCTGGTGCAATCTCACCGTGCACACTGGCATTTCAGCAGACAGCTGCCATGGCAGCTTTTTGGGCACCTTTTTTTGGGGGGGTGGGGAGTCCTTAATTTTCCAAGGTTACTGTGGTATGTGCAACAGCCTGACTTCATCTAGAGGCGAGTTCAGTGGACATAAGTGCCACATCACATCTTCAGAGTAAGAGCAATTTAGAGGCAGGATCCTGGGATGCAGCATCAGAAATCTACCAAGGCATTGCTAAAAAGACTGGCGATATAGTTGGAAGGCCACCAACAGGCAAATAGATTTCTGGTTAAGGCTTCTACCTGCTTTTCCAAGGTCACTGAACAATTAACAGGTGACCATTTAAATAGGAATTACAGATAGAAAGCATTTATTAGTTTCACATGAAATTTGAAAGCAGGGGGCAGGCACACCTGTCTAATTGTGCCCCCAAAGGTTCAATAGAAACAACTGTACCTGTAGTGTCACCTCTGATGACTACCAGTGTGAAGATAACAACCTCCATGCGATAAATTTAGCAAGCTAGCCATGGTGCTACTTCAGCTCCAACACCAACACCAGTCTTTGTTAGAGTTCCCATTTCAGTTTCGGCAGCACAGATAAGCTTATCTCGAAGCTTTGGGCTGGCCTTCTGGATGGCACAGCAGACCTTATTACCAGGAGAACTGCTAATGAGCATCAGGAAATGCCACCAGCTCCAGAGAACTCACGGGATAGTTTCAAGGCAAGAAGTAAAAGGGCAGGCCCTCAAATTTCCCATGGAAGGCTAGAAACGAATCCATATGTGTACAGATGCATTTTTACCAGACTCTACACAAAATTTAGCTGAAAAAACAGTACTTCTATAGACAAGATATTTTTCTGATGAAGATAAGTAATATGGGCTTTGAACTGAAAACTACATAAGTTATACTCTTTCTGTTTGGCTTGCCTTATTATACAAAAATTAAATTCATTTTGAATTAGCTAAAACTGATTTAATCTTAGTCTTAACAATATCACTTAGCTCTCTGAAAACAAGATCAGGCTCTAAAAAGAATGATATCCTACCTCCTTTTAAGGATACTTCCCCAAAACTGTGAGCTTCTACCCCAGAATTCCTCACTCCCTCAAATCACATTTGACATGGAGAGAGAGAGAGAGAGAGAGAGAGAGAGAGAGAGAGAGAGAGAGAGAGAGAGAGAGAGAGAGAGAGAGAGAGAGAGAGAGAATTCAGTCTGGCAAGTGAGTACAGGCTACATTGCAGGTTTTGTTGAAACCGTCTACCATCTTCCTTTTATTCTGGTTTGGTACATTTCTAAGGCCCATTGACCATGGACAACTGGTAGGACAGACTTGGCTTAAAAGGTGGCCTCTCTGCCATTTCAATGGCTGATTTGAAACCCATTGTGCACTGAATTCTTTATTATAAAATCCCACCTAGGTACTACATTTCTGCCTGTCATCTTAGGGAAGGCCAGGAGTTTTGCACCATCCTGCAATGTGAAAACAGAAAATCAAAGCCAGCATAGAGCTCCCTGCTTCTTCTCTGACCAATTTGTTGCATTTTCTGAGGCAATGTTGACCCTTGCTATCTCAGATTGGAAAGGGCAAGTTAGTAGAAAAATGTGTAGTTTAAATAGCATCTTCCAGGGAAAGTCCCTTCTCACACTTAATGTTAAGTGCAGTAAGATAATCGGCAAATAGGCATTTGTTGTTTAGCTAAGAGCCATTTCCTTTCTAAACCGGTATGATCCCGATTAAGGGGCCAAGAGGCCCAGGCATTTTTCTTAGAGCTCTCATTCTGCTGCAATGACAGCCCCCATAAAACTCCAGTTTACGAATCAAATTTGTTTCACTCCTCACTCCAATATTATAATGCAAACCCCAGTGACAAATAATGTCTTCTAAGATACTTAAACAGTTCACTGAAAACGACAGCTTGTGAAGAACTCTGCCGATGACCTCTCCCATCTCATGTCAATTTCTGAAAACAAGTTCCCATTGCAAAGATTTAACCATCGGGCTTTCAGGAATCTAACACACACACGCACACACACACACAAAACCTTATTTTTTTTTTCTCCTAACTTGTTTGGTCTGCGAGCTTCTTTCTAGCTGTCTCGGTTTCCTGCAAACACTTAGGCTTTTCTCTTTCAAAGGGGCTGGGAGCTGTGGAGGTTCTGAGCTAGGCAGAAACCCTGTGGTTTGATTCCATTAGTCTAAGCCCTGGCCGGTTTCGAGCCAGCTGCCTTATCTGCTTGCAAAAACCCTGACAGCCAGGTTCTAGACACACACACTAGCTGCATGCATTCGTCCATAGTGGTCTACCCAAATCTTTCCTGGAGCCAGCCAACCACAACAGAGGGAATCCTACCTTCCATCATGGTGGCAGAATTGCATTCCTTAATTTCCAAGGAGTCAGAAAAAACACAGGAGGATACACTTCCAGGTCTCAGCTAAGTCCTCACAATGCCGCTGCTGAGGTCTGCTCTGCTTGCTGCCAAGCCAAAGGAGACAAGTGTTAACCCGAAAGACAGGCCATGGATGCTGCTGGTGTTGCTTCACCTACAAGCTCCCAGGAAGATGCTGAGAGAGAAAGGCAGAGGAACAGCAAGCCGGCGAGCTGCACCGCCTGCACTGCCTCGGCCAATCCCTTCAGCTCTGGACCGCGTCACATGGTAGCCAGCCTGCATCTCCTGACACAATACCCCCGGAGAGCGCACGGAACCCATTTCCCGTCCCCATTCCTTGCAACCCCCTTCGCTCCCCCCCCCCCGCTCCCCTCCAAAAACATAGCCCCTTCCCCACCTGGTGACGCACTTCCCCCGCCCCTCCTCGTGGTCCTCGCAAGCCTATTGCGGCTCCCGGGCACCCGATGATCTGAGCTGCCACCGTGACTGGGGACGCTAGCGAGAAAGTAGCCCAGGAAGCTGAGCTGCCCAGGGGAATTTTCGTTTTTCTCTTTTATTTATTTTTAAAGAAAAAAAAAACAACCTTCTCAGTAATTCCAGGTTTTGGCAACACATTTTTATATTTCCATTCCAACCTCATTTTGACCTGATGGAATTTCAAATGTCAGCACCTGGCTTCTGCGCACATCTGTCATCTGTGGATCTGCAGCTAGCTCCTTCTCCGCACCCCTTCCCCCCTCTGTCTCTCTGTCTATCTCTCTGTCTCTCTATGTGTCTCTCCCTCTCATTCACGAGAGAAAAATCAATTCGCTGACGTCACATCATAAACAACCATCCCCCAAAGGATGATGCAGAAAAAAAATTCACCCCAGCTGCCTTGAAAAGAGGCAGGAAATTAATTGCGCATGACATGCCTAAGGGCTGGGAACTGTCATTAAAACAAAGAAACAAAAGAACCCACCCGATCCGGGCTCTGGAATCAAACCGGCGATGCTCCAGCTCATTTCTGGGGCGAGAGGCGGGAGAGGCAGAAGCCTAAGCCCTGGCCGCCACTGGCGTGTGCGCGCTGTCTCCTCCCACACACGGGCTCTGCAGCCGCGACCACGGGCAGCGAGTCCTACCGCCACCCCCGCTGCCCCCGCGTCCTCCCACCTAGTTGGGCCGTCGCCTGACCCAGGTGGAGAGCCTCTTTTGCAGCCTTGGCTACAGCCGCCAACTGCAGCCCCTGCAGCAGGGCACGTTTTACGAGAGAGGAGCCTCCTACGATCTTGAGTCGCCTCGGAGCCCAGTCGTTTACCCGGGGGAAATCCTGCGGGAGGCAACCTGGAACGGTTGCGCTGGAGGAATGGGCGGAGCCCGGGCTTGGCAACTTGCTGGGTTGAGATCTGCTTGCCCTGGAAAGGTTCGGATACAGGGTCTGGTTGAGTTGAGGGTCTGACACCTAAGTGCTCTCAAGAGACCTAGGAATCCTTCAAAGGGACTCCCAGGCCCGTTGTCCTGCAGCCCTGGGCCAGACATTCAAGCACAAATGTATGGAACCCAGTAGGGGAGGGTTAGGAGAAGGGAGAGAGAAAATGATGAAGATAGATGGGAGGCTAGAGAAACATCTCTTTAAAGCGGAGAAGAATAGCAGATTCGGGGCTATGAAAAATTTCTTATTGAAGATCCGGTCTGAGTGTCTAACAACAGTGCTGATCGTTTATAACACCCTCACTTAATATTATCCAGATCTCAACATTTCCGGATTCTTCCAGAGGCAATATGAGATACTGGTGGTCATGAAATAATAAAGAACACAGCGAAGGAGGCCAAGGAAGAAGCAGATTAGTCAAAATCGAAAAGCAAGTCAGTTCCTTAGCAACTTACAAGATTTTCTTAATTAAAGAAAGCCTCATCGTTTCCCCTCAAGGATACACGTTTCAGTGGCCTCTTCATTTCAAAATTAAAGTCTCTGGAGAGATATTCTTGCTTGAGGCTTTCCCTCTATGTCTACGAGGAAGTAGAGTTTTAAAACGAAAAGATTACAAAATAAATAAAACATGTCTTAAGGACAGCTTGATCTGCTCTAAAAGCTGCTGTGAGTTATTGCATAAAGGGAGTGTGTGTGTGTGATTAGCAAATTATTTTAATTATGATAAAAATGTGTCAAACAGAATGATAGGGAATTGTGTCTCTTTTTCATTGAGATCTGAAACCCTAAGGCAGTCATTGAGATCTTGAAACCCTGGGCTTTGGTTTTTTACCTGTAAAATGGAGATAACAATAATACCAAGTTCTCAAGCCTATAAGTCTGCTATTCTCAATCTGTGGGTTGAGACCCCTTTGCAGGTGAGCATCCCTTCACAGGAGTAGGCTAAGGCCATTGGAAAACACAGATATTCACATTTATGATTCATAACAATAGCAAAATTACAATTATGAAGTAACAATGAAAATGATTTTATGGTTAGGGGTCACCAGAAAGTTACTTAGTGTTATGTCTGGGACCTTGCCTTGTTAAGTTCTCCATGTTAGCTTTGCAGAATTAGTATCATTAACACTAAAGGGCTGGCAGGTGAATCAGAGAAGGTTGCAGCCAGAGAGCTGCAGGCACAGGCAGCCACGTGTACTGAGAACAGCAGTGAAAGACTAGGTGAGACAGAGGGCCAGTGTGCTGGAGATGCTTGAAAGCTGCTGAAGAGAAAGTAGAGGCAAGCAATATTAATAAAATGATGGAATGCTAGGGTAGTTCATGAAAAGAAATGGAATGAACTTGGAAGTTATAAAAGAGATAAGGAGCTCCGGAATGGGGAAGGTGGAGTCTGGAGCCGAGCAGAAGCAGGACACACAGGAGGTGGCGAGAAGCTGCAGGTAATGGAGGACGTTTGCCAGCCTTTGCTCCCAGCCCTGGCTCTAGTGAACTGAGCGGACCCCTCACGTTCCCTGCAGTTCACACCGGTTTGATTTTAGGATTGTAGCAAGCCTAATAAGCTAGAAAGAAAGTGAGCTCAAATATTCTTGTTCGGAATCTATTTGAAAGTTTTAACACATAAATATTTATGTAAATATTTATGAGGCACAATGTGATAGACAAGTGCCTATGTAGTATGTTTAATGATTAGATCAAGGTGATTCACACGTCTGCTGCCTCCAGAAATCTGTGTGTGTGTGTGTGTGTGTGTGACATTAAAAGTCTGTCCTACTAGCTGCTTAGAAGTAAACAATTATGATCAAACATAGTGACTCCACTGCACAATAGACTGTTAGAAGTTACGCTTATCCAGCTGTTTCCCACACACACCTGTTAACCATCTCTCCTTCACCCATTTATTCCCTTACAGTTACCAGCTGCCAATAATACTGTTCTACTCTCTACATCAGTCAAAGCAAACGTTTAGCTTCCACATTTTATGAGAATATGTGGTGTTTATCTTTCTGTACTTGCCTGACTTATATCCCTTAATCTAATGTCCCACAAGCTCATTCATGTTACAGTAAGTAACTGAATAATCCATTGTGTTTATATGTATGACATTTTCCTTATCTGTTCATTTTGTTGATTGGACTCTTAGGCTGATTCCATATGTTGGCTATTGTAAACAATAGTGCAATGCACAGGTAGTTGCAGATGTCTCCTTAACATACTGCTTTCCTTCTTTTTGAATGTATACCCAGAAGCACGACTACCAGGTCATGCAGCAATCCTCTACCAAGTTGTGCAAGCTCTCTATTGTTTTTATAATTGCATTTCTACTAACAGTGTGCAAGAATTCTCCTTCCTCTGCACATCATCAACATCTGCCATGTTCTTGTCTCATTATTAACAAACAGTTTTAAGTGGCTTTGTATTTCCATGGTAATTACCGGCACTGAGCATCTTTCATATATTTTCTGGTTATTTGTATAGCTTCTTTTAATAGATGTTGATTCAGAACTTTTGATCAATAGCTGTTAAGCTCACAGGAAAAGCAGAATTGTAGTTACAATGGCCCCAGAAGGACCAACAGAAAGGTGTGTGGCAAAAAGTGGTTAGGTCAGTCCTGAGCCCAGATACACTTATCCACAGCTTTCTCAGCCACTTGCCTTTTGCCCTTTAAAAAGATAATCCTCGTATCAATTAGAGGAACATCCAAGAAACAAAGTTGTGCTTCACATTAAAAATGTACTCAAATACATACATTGTCAGAAAAGATCAAATACCTTGATTTTATCTCTCCATATATTTTTTTAGGGAAACATGGTTTTGCTCAAGAACATAATCAGCATCTTAGATTATGCCCAAATTTTCTCATTTTGGGGGTGAGTTCTCTCTTTGATGACAAGACCTAAAGAAGAATTTCTTGTTGCTGAAATTGTGGGATGTTTCTTACAAGCCTGAAATTGCAGCCAAAAGATCTTGGGAAAGACAGGCTCAATTGCTGACTGGCATCAGAGCTCAAACATTGCAAATACTGCCTGGGAGCCCTATCCAGGATGACAAAGACAGACCCATGTCACACTAGACTCATAGAATATGTTTTAGCTAGTCAATACCAATAACCTAGGTGCTGATGTCACTAGCATTGCATTATGTTTCTGAAATAAGGTTTGTTTTGTGGTGGTGCTTCATTAGTTGTCTGTGATTTCGAATCAGATTCCAGGTGGAGTGATAGCCATGCCTTTGATTCTAGTACTCCAGAGGCAGAGGAAGGTGGAGTTGTGAGTTCAGGGACAACCTTGTCTACATAGCAAGTTCAAGGCCAGCCAGGGGTACACAGTAAGATCCCGTCTCAAAATGAATGAATGAATGAATGAAAGAAGAGAAGTCAGATACCTATCACATTCTGAAAAGTTGGGCTTCTTTATTCCTTTTTAATTTTTAGTGTTTTAGGAGATTATCTGTTCCCACTTAAAGGACGGAAGGAAGAACGAAAAAGAAAGACAGAGGGTTGGAGAGATAGCTCTGTAGTTAAGAGCACTGAGTGCTCTTCCAGAGGACCCAGGTTCATATTCCTAACACCCACATGGCAGCTCACAATTTTCTGTAACCTGGATCCAACACCCTCACCCAGACAAACATAGAGGCAAAAGATCAATGAAATGAAATAAATAGTTTTGAAAAGTATTTTAAAAGGGAAACAAAGAATGAGAATTGAGTCATGAATGAGGAAGGAATGTTAACCCAAGGAGAAAGTTTTAAATTGTGTATATATCTACATGTACATATCTCCAAGGCAGCCATCATGGCAGAACAGTTGGCTCTTTCCATCTTACATTCTCCTTGGAGCCAGTCAATGATGGTAAAAGGGAAATGTTACCCAAGCACCAGAGTCCCCAGTCTTGCCTGAAGGAACTGAGTTCTATGAGTCACCACAGTGAGAGATTCTTATTGTCTACGTTGAGGTCAAAGTGGATACAATTTTGTGGAGAGCCTGCTGGGTTTTGTTTGTTTTTAACAGATCCATACTCACATACAAATATTTAAAACACCTCCTTGTGTATGTGTACAGACATGTATGCATATACTATGCTCGGTTGAAAATAAAACAATTACAACTTGAAATATTAATGAAGCAGACAAAAGGAATTTATCTGCCTACCTTACAAACTACAGGAAGAACAGCTGAGGGGAAGGTAGAATCAGGACATGTCATGACTGTTACCAGAATCAAGTACTAAAGGACCAAATTTATCTTTAAAAAGTATCTATTTTTAAATTTTGACAGTTTTCAGACAACAGAAGCAGTAAAGGAATGACTCAGATCTCTATATCTCTTTCATCTCTCTCTTTCCAGTATATCCTCTGTTCGTAGTACTTTTTCTCCTTGTGATCAGGGGCCTAACTATGATCTATTGACCTCCCAATATTTCCATCCAGGGAAGGACTCTCATCGACTTGACTGGAATCATTATTCACTCTCTGAACCAATCCGTGGGGTCATGTTGATGAAACCTCATGGTGAATTTATGGAAGAAAAGCACCACCTTTAGCTTATTCATATGTCCGATATTGAGACTAAACTTGGGGAAGGTGGAATAAGGCAAGTTTAGATGACAAGCAATCCTGAACAACATGAAACCCTCATATTACAGGGGTGCCAAATAAGGTATCAAAGGAAGGATGGACATTATTTCCAGAAGAGATGTGAATGAAAATCTATGTAACAAAGCAATCTGTCCCACAGGCATTGCTCAGTGTATCAAATACAAAAGGACTCAGCCACAGAGCCACACAGAATGTCATACTGACCCCATACAGAAGATTTGAGAAACTATGTGCACACTGACACTCTGCATGCAGAGAGAAAGATGAACTATTCATGGGGG